GGGGGGGGGGGGGGGGGGGGGGGGGGGGGGGGGGGGGGATAGGTGAGAGACAGCAGTGAACTGGTTATCTGCTGATCCTATTAATATGGTGCTCAGGTGGTCTGAGGCCACCAGCAAACCAATGGCAGTGGTGCAAAAAGAAACGAAAGGAAAGAAGGAAAAAAGAAAGAAGGGATCAAGGCGGTCCTGTACAAGAAAACAAAAGAGGGGACGAAAATAGAAAGGGAAATAAGAGACGTTCTATCGGAGCTGCGGAGTGAATATACTCAGGCCCAAGGACCAGAAGGTACATCGAAATCCTCCCTAGGTACTACCTGGTCTCCTTCCCCTTTGGCACACGGGCAAGCCAGTAGATCAACACCGCGCCAAAAATATTGGCCACGATGTACACCCACATCAGACCGAAGTTCCGCCAAGCGTCAGCGAAATCGCTGGAGATTTGCAAGAGGTACGCATTCGTCTTGCTGACGGTGCAGAACAAGCAGTCGGTGGTAGCCAGGGGATCTTCCAGATACCCAGTCCCGACCAATTTGATGAAAGGGTCCATATAGTCCTGGCAAGTTTGGTTGGCTGGGGGGTTAAACTTCAGAAACTCGACTGGCTCGCAGATTGCATCGGCACCCGAAACACCCGTCGAAAGCATTGCTGAAACCAAGTAGGTAAACGGCGAAACGCGGTACATGAAGATCCAAAATCCAGGTAAGGCCTCCTTAGTTGAGAGAACACCGCAGAAGATCAAGCAGAGAGAGAATAACATCGTCGCGATATTTCCACCAGTCTCAGCCAGTTCAATTCCTGCAATCACCATGTGTGCGAATGTTGACGTGAATAACAAGAATGTCCAGATTAACAAGAACATGAGGGCCCCTCGTTCGCTCACTGCGTTGTCGGGCTCTGCATTTCTGTATAAACCAATTGGATAATACCAGCAGAAAAAGATAAACACAGCCATTAAAGTATTCCAGGGCAGTTCCACTAGAATATTCGAGATCATAAACGCCTTCCAGCTGTAGGCCTTGGATGGGCGCTCTCGCACCTCGTAAAGAGAGCGTTGTGTAACAAAGTTTGGCATAATCTGCTGCACCAGATTCCCAAAGATTGTCATCAACATAAAGACACTGAACATCTGGTTCTGGAGGCCTTGGATGGAATTTTGGGCGTGGAAAAATGAGAATCCAATATAGAGCGCCGTGAGGATGCAAAGGGCAGCTTTCGACCAGATATAAGTCGGGGGTTCGAAAGTATTGCGCAAAGACACGTAGGAGACACTCCCACAGTTGGACATAAAAGGGCGCGGCGAATTCACGGAATTCATTAGGTGAAGAATCACGCCCAGAGTTTGAAGATAAGGTGGACTTCAGCTCGGAGAGGTGCTCCTTGACCTTCCCATACTCGGGACTGGCCCGCCATACCTTTGGCCACTCAATCTCACTGTGTGTACCCGGCGCTGCCCCAATAACGTCCAACATCCATTCAGCGGGATTTTCTCCGGGGGTCAGATGGTGGGCGCCGTTGCGTTGGAAATAGTTCGACAAAGTGGACGAGTTTTCGCCAATCTCACCAAAGTAGATCGTTTTACCCCCTTTCGCCAAGAAGAGAAGACGGTCGAATCGTTGGAATAACATCGCTGAAGGTTGATGGATGGTGCAGAGAATTGCTTGTCCGTGCTTGGTGAGTGTGTCGATAAGATCGAGAATAGACCAAGAAGTCTGACTATCTAGGCCACTCGTAGGTTCATCGAGGAAGAGTAGGAGCTGGGGCTTCGCGGCAAGCTCCACACCAATCGTCAATCTCTTCCGCTGCTCAACATTCAATCCCTCGCCCGGAACACCAACAACAGCGTCAGCGTACGCTTCCATACCAAGGAGCTTGATGACCTCGTCGGCATAGTCGACCTTTTCCTTCCGACTAACAGTGGCGGGTTGACGGAGCAAGGCACTAAACACTAAGGCTTCCCGAACTGTCGACGTAGACAAATGCAAGTCCTGCTGTTGGACATATCCAGTCTTTCGCTGGAAGGACTGATCTGTAGGGTGTCCGTCAACGAGCATTTCTCCAGTGACAACACCCATAGTAACTCGCGTTGCCAGCACGTCAAGCAAAGTCGTTTTTCCAGCCCCAGAGACTCCCATCAGTGCTGTACAAGTCCCGGGTTTGACCCAGCCGTCAACATTGTCCAAAATCCTTCTAGGTTCTCCTTTGATTTTGATGTCGTAGCAGACATCCTGCCAGTGAAAGATCGCAGTTTGTCGCTGAATGGCCGCTGCTTTGGGGGGAGACTCGTCTGTCTTGGCGACTGGAGAAGATTGAGAAGATGCCTCTAAATCACCCTCTCCGGAGGCATGTTTCGGCTGATAGCCACGGCGGAATAGAAGCACCTCGCCTTTAGACTTTTTCTCGGAGATATACTCAGTGGCAAGAAGATATGTAAGCATGAAGAATATCAGGAAACCAAAGAGAATTCCAAGATTCCTCCACAAATGTCCCTTGAGATACCCGAAGCTCTGGCTAAGATATAGTGATCCAGACACATTGGTGGACCCTGACTGAGCGCCGACAGTCGAGCAGATGCGATGGTCCATTGAAACACTGTCGTATCCACCACCAGAAGGAACAACAGCAGCACATTCGAAATGACGATCATGGAATTCATTGACCATAAAACTTTCGAAGGCGTAGGCGACGGGGTTGATATAGTTCATCCAGCGCGACCACCCGAGCATATTGCGGGTGGGGATAACGAACCCAGTATAGATAACCATACCCAAGATCAAAATGGCAGCTGGGACCAAGGCCTGTGAGAGGGATCTGGAAGATGCCGCAATGGTCCTGAAGATCATTGACATTGTGAACGTGGTGATGACCGAGAATAGCCAAAATGTAAAGAACGCCCCAGCCTCACGACGTAGGTCGGTCATAAAGTACAATGGTATATTGAAGGTCAATGAATTGATCAGTTTGTAAGGCGTATCGCACAGCATCGATGCAAGTGCCTCTGCGAAAGGGTGGTAGAAGGCGTATCGGGCTTGCTTTTCAACAATTGGACGTTGGGCGTATAGGGTGAGGATTTCCAGTGCGCTGGAAAATGCATTCAGGAGGACGGCAAAAAATAAAAGAGCTCCGCGAGAATAGAAGCTGGAGGTATCCTTGGGAAGGTTCACAAATACCGAGCCAATGACCAAAGCCATTATAAAATTCCCAATCAAAGCTGTCGCCGTTAAGCTGTAGTCTCCACGAAGGCGCTGAAAGCCACGGGTCACACAGAGGGAAATCTGTTTCCGTATCGAGATGGTGTATGGCGATTTAACCCTTTGGTGTTTGTCCTGGATAGCCCTGCGGGCATCGATAAATGCATCGTAGGAGCTACCTTTGATAGGGTAATTGTTCTCATACTCCTCAATTTCAATGATCAGCTTGGCACGCGCGTCGCTGCTCTTCCAGGCTGCCGCAAATTCGTCCGGAGTGCGAGGGACATAACGGTTTTCAAAGCCACTCCGGACCACGCGTTCCAAAGGGCTAGTGATCGACGTCAAGAAGTCTGCTGTGGTTTGACGCTCCGGGCATTCATAGCCCATGTCCTCAAAGTACTTCCTAGCCTCCGTGGTCGGCCCGAAGTAGATCTGCCTTCCTTCATAAAGCAAGGTCACCTTGTCGAAGACATCATAAGCATTCTGTGACGCTTGATAGATGGCAACGCAAGCTGTTGTTCCGGAGTATTTGCTCATAAGAGCCAGATTTCGGCAAAACTCAAGTGCATTAGCACTATCCAGGCCTCTCGTGCTATTGTCCCAGCACTGCAAGGGGCTCTGACTCAGAGTGGCCTCTGCAATACTGACGCGTTTCCTCTCGCCTCCACTTACCCCGCGAATAAAGTCATTCCCAACCCGGGTGTTGATGGTATGGGAAAGGCCAAGCATTGCCATCACCACATCTCTCATATGTTCAGCGTATTGCTTGTTTCCTACCCCCTCAAGGCGGTTTCTGGGGGCCCTAGCCAATGCGGCGAACATGAGGGTATCGCCGACGGAGAGCTGGGGGAAGTGGACATCGGTCTCAGCTGCGTAGATTGCCTCGCCTTTGAAGGAATTTTGCATTTCCTTCGCAGAGATACCTAAATTTATTGTGATTTGTCAAAACCTCTCCAAATGATGAATTCAAACGGAATGGTTTAGGAAGAAGACACTTACCCTGATAGTTGAGAACCGAATCCTCTGACATCTCAATGCCATTCATTTCACCAGCAATGGTCTTGAGCAAAGTCGAACACCCACTACCTGGCTTTCCCAAGACCACCAATGTTTCCCCACTTTTGACGAGACCATCAAAATCATGAAGGATCTGGATCTTCTGCAGTTTCAGACCGGCCAGTCTGCGGACCATAGTCCCAAGCTCCAGGACCGAATTCAGGACGTCTTTCTGATAGTCGGTCGGAGAACCAAATCCATGGACGTTCAAATTTTTGAACGAAATACCAGCGGTCCGATCTGGGTATTTGTCGGGGTTGCGAGATCGGATAGCCAGCAACATCTTCATCCAGTCCCGCACCTTGAAGTTGGGGCTATTGGGATTGAGCGTCGATTCGGAGTCTCCATTCGTGAAGGGATTATCCAATGTACCGTTCGCAGAGAATCGAGTAGATTGGCGGGTGAGTTGTCGTGCTAGCCGTCCGACCAGCGCCTCCCTGTTTTCTTCTTCCTCCTGCACAGTGTCTTCATCCTCGCTCTTTTCTGGATCGTGGATCATGCCCAGCTCGTGCTCACCCGGCAGTTGCATTGGATTGTGGCTGATCAGGGACTGGACTGGGATCGAGTTGGATTTCAGCTGAGTATCCCCAAGAGTGATAGGTTGGTTTCGATATCAACCTGTCAAGTCCTTGATGACATAGACCTGAGCAGGATTGCTGTATTGCTGGGCGCCTGCTTCAGAGAGAAGAGGAAGACACGACAATGGAACCAAAAACAAGAAGATCAAAAGATTAGATTGATAGGAGGCTGAGAAAGCTGGCAACGGAACGATATGTATCCTAATCGACAACAGCACCGCAAGCAGCCTGGGAGCTCGGCATATATAAGTTTATCTCTAAATCGAAATACAAAGCTTGAAAAGAAATTCCGACAGATCCGGCCAAGTTAGGGGTAATTCTCTTTTGTGAATACATATATAGCCGTGATAGAAGAACCTCCGGGATGCCGAGATATATGTATGCTGTGATTCTCGAAGGTTAAATCCGGCAGCTACATACATATGTAGGAATACTGGCTATCGGAGTTTGCTATTCTGCTTCCGGACCCCGAAACGGGGCTTATGATACCCCAGCTTTTCCCTCCGGACTATAACCCTCAGGGCTCTAAAGAGCCGAGAAGTTGAAATTGATTGTCGGGTTAGGGCCCGGGCCTTGGCATGTCTCAATACGTGGTATTACCAACTAAAGAACATCCGGCATCCGATTCTAAGATGCCGAGACTACACCTAACCGGCCCTGAAGGTTGAGTTAATGACGGAAAAACATCAGCCAAGAGACTCTGTCTTGTAATAAATCCCCCGTGTACGTGAGAGACTACATACCTGATATCGGGGTATCGGACTCAGGCCATCCCGAATCAACTGGGTTGTTCCCAATTTGCACAATTTGCACAATTTGCAGGGTTTGCCATAATTTTATGCAGGTTATCCAACTCCTCGCCTGTTCGCTGTTTTTTTCATTCTGACTTCGGAGCCCAACGATTTCGACTCCGTAGCTCTAATTCCGGAAACAATCCCTATGTCTGATTTTACGACCTGCGAACATCCAAATGAATAGGATGCTCGGTAACCAGGCCCGCGGCGACGCTGCATTGCGCCAACATTTACCTCAACTCTCAAGGCCAGAAAATGGACGCCCGATAAAAAGGAAACGGAAGAGAAAAGTGTGGACTCCTCAGACACAAATAAAGTCATGTACTAATATTACCATTAGGCATGCGAGACTTGTCGACGCAGGAAAATAAAATGCGAGATTACCAACCAGTCCAAATGCTCGTTCTGCAGCAAAGCCAACATTCCTTGTTCTCTAGTTGATCCTAGGCGACATAGGCAGTTGAAGAAGTATGACATCACAGCCGATATTATAATTTGTCAGCAATGAATAACAATAGAACAGCCTGAGTATGATCAATCGCCTGGAGACAAATATCCAGCGCTTGGAAGCTCATTTTCAGAAGATAGGGATTGACCTGGGTGAAGATATGAACGGGTCATTTCTTATCGAGGAGCTTGAGCAGTCAGATGCATCCTCACCGTCGAGTGCAGCTGAAAATACGGATCTAATAGATGACACGGGTGTTTGGAACTCAGAACCAATACAAATGGACGCTGAACAAGACCCCTCTGCTGCTACACAGAATGCATATCATACCGTGGTCAACCCAGCCCCGGACGAAGTCCACACAGTAATACAGGAGGATTTGCCATGCTTCTACGTTCCAAGGTGTTTTACGGGTACACCGAATCCCGGTGAGAAACCATAGCCGATCTCATTGCTGTCAAAAGCTGATTGATACGTATAGGCTTCTCAGCCCTATCCCCCGAAGGAAAGAAATGGATAGCTAATAAAATGGAAGGGGGGTCCGTTGACAACTTGGAATTCCTCCTTCCATTAGGTCTCCAGGGAGCGAATAGAGGACTGCTTGAGGGCTTATCCCCTGACAAGCACTTCTGCCCATTGCCACCGAAACATGAGATCGCATCGTTGGTCAATGACTATCTGCAACAGTACAACTCGATGGTTCCCATATTCCGACCGTCGTCGCTATTGTCACTCTGTGATGACGACAATTTACATGACATATTCAATTTCCCCGGCCGTTGGGCGAGCCTCAATGTTGCTTTAGCGATGGGGCATATTCTGCGCATAGAGAATAGCTCTGTTGTACAGATTGACCGTCAGAAGGGCTGGTTGTTCATGAAGAACGCCTTGGGGGTTTTGAATGACCTCTGCTTTGGGTTGCCAGATATATGGGCCGTTCAGGCGCTGTTAGGGATGGTAAGGCGAACAACTGCCTTAAGAGAAGATCCGACTAACAGTGCTTTCTGTATAGGTCATTTTTCTATTAGGGACATTGAGCAGCCAGCCTTGTGGGTATTTGATCTCCTCCGCTGTGCGAATATGTCATCAAATTCGACTCGAACGCAGTGAGAATGAGTCTGGATTGTGTCCTGAAGAAGTAGAACAACGGAGGCGGATCTTCTGGATCGCATACTGTCTTGACAAAGAGTATGAAAATCGATAGTATTGACATTTCAACCCCACACTGACCTGTCCTAGAATATCCCTTCGTGCCGGTATTCCAATAGCACAGCGGGATGATGATATGGATGTCTTATTACCAACAGAAGTTCCACTGGATAACATAGGGGTCATGCCAAGGACAGACCAACAAGGGACCTTCAACATATTCAGATCAACCTGTGAACTGGCCTTGATTAGGAGCCAGGTACACAAACACCTCTACTCGGTCGCAGCAGGAGATCGGCCGCTTGTTGAAGTGGCTACCACGGTAGCGATGTTGGACGAAAAGCTCCAGCAGTGGAAGGATAGTATTCCCACCGAGTTCCGACCCGAACCAAGAAGACCTTCCGCTTTTCCACAGTCCCCGATAGCTGCGATCCTCCTTTACCTCCATTTATCATACTTCAACTGTCTGATCGCTATCCATCGGGTCACCGCGGCCCGGGGGTCAAGGCTAGGTATAGATCTAGTCGAAAGGAACAGTATCTACACTTTACCCAACCAAGTGATATTCATGTCGGAATCACTGTGCACAAAAGCTGCAACCGCGTCGATTAACTTGATCAAATATATGCAGAAATTTAATATCACCCTCATAGGGTACGTGATGACTCAGATAAAACACGTCTGTCCTTTTTCTTCCCTGTTCTGGCTAACCTACACAAGGATCATGATCTACTACCCTATTCTAGCATCCAAAACACTGTCCTCGACCATCGTCCGGAATCCACGAGACACCTCACGCATATATCACATCGGCCTTATCATGCAAGTGGAAAGATTCGTGTCATCCTTGGCCCTTGGTACACCCAACGAAGGGATCGAGGCTCTTTTGAAGGACTGCGCCGAGTATCGCTCGCTGGCAGAGACTGCTGTTAGGGAGGCTACACAGATACGTTGGGTTTGATCGCAGGAGGCTCTATGTCTCCTAGCAAGGCAGTGATATATAGCTTCTACTGGCAGTTTTCAGCTTGGAGTCGATATACTATTCTCCACCTCACTTAGCATGCCCTGCTCTGCATAGAGAATGTCCTGTAATGCGGAATCGCAGATACCAAAGACTCATCGCGAGAATACCTGAATTTCCCGCTACTGAGAAGAAGAAGATGGGCGATCTCGTGAAATCCAAGGGAACGGCCCTTTCAAGGGACTGGAACTCGGATTGGCCACTGCAAAGACGGAGGAGCAGGGAAACAATAGCATCCCGCCCTGTCTTAGCAGCAGTGTAGTTTGATTATCATGAACTCATAATAATCCTTTTTATTTACCTAATATGCAGCTTTTCTACGTCTTCAGCTGGGCACCCTCAAGTCATGTCACTTCACTTGTTCAACTTATATAACCATTTAGATCTTTAGCTCATCTCCATTACATACATTATGTGAGCAGTAAAACATTTTCACCCAGTCTTCTTTGCAACATTCTTTGCAGTGTCCTGTCACGTCAACCACCACCCCCATTACCGCCTAGAAGTCCAAAAGATCCTCATACTTGATATGTTCCGGGAACTCTGCATCTTTCTTTGGGACACCACAACCCCAGCGCTTCTTGCGACCACTACTATCCCCCAAATAACAGACAAAGGGGCCCTCAGCGCACTCCTGTCCACCACTACTAGGACAGTTCTCGTCCTCAGAATAGTATTGGTCTTCGGCGAGCTTGCTAACCGGAATTTTCCCCTCAACTGAAGGGACCTCCAAGATTGGCTCAGTCAGGCCTTCGCCTTCCCTTCCATCCTTCTTGGTGGACGTGATGCAGAATTCGCCAATCCGGTCATCCTTAAAGCAGTTGCGGCTTCCAGGGTAGCACAGGCTCCAGTCTGGACTCTCGATGACATTCTTGTCCCCATCCTTACATTCAACTGAGGCTTCGCAGTTGCCCCCATCCTTGGTTTCCATGTAGACCAGGCACATATTTTCATTTGTTTCATACTCCTACGAACAAATTAGTCTTAATGCAATAGGGCTTAGGGTGGACGCCAGAGTGACAATGAGCACTTAACTTACCCACGCATTTGATTCCTCAGTGACGAGTCCGAAGATTTTCAAAAGGTTTACGAACGATTTGGGCTTTTCTACGACGTTCAAGAGTAGCAGGAAGGCCTTGAGTCAAGATTCCAAAAAAGGAGAGAATAAATAGCCCTAAGAGGGGAAGCTTGAGTGTCATGACGGATATTGTTTAGTGTGTAATGGAAAATTGAAGAAAGAGAAGAGGAAAAAAGATGACTTTATATTTGTTTTCTGTTTGCTTCGCTGTGTGGCGTCGCGGTGTTGTGAATCCACTATAGTAGATAGAACCCCTTTATATATGTCTAGCTAAAGGAGGTCTATGTTGAGAAGATTGCCCCTTGTTCCTTCTAAAATTCCCCAGGTCTCACTGCCTCCATCCCAAAAATAAATTGCATCTTCATTCTCATATTGTCAAAGCTGGCAACTAATAACACTGCCACCAATCAATTAGAAAAGATGTCAAACGCTCCAATAGCCGTCTTACCAGCCCACCCCTACCCAGGGTGGGTCTATCCCACTAAACAGAAATTTACCACAAAACAGAAGAATTCAAAATCACCATATATTCAACAACCACCTACCTATATACACCAGTAGTATCTATATACCAATTTGCACTACCACTGTCTCTTGCTGCTAATCTAGCTTTATGCTCAATTTCAGCGGCATCCCTAGCCAATTAAGCCCGTTGTTCCAATTCTAATTCCTTGGCATATTTTGCCTACTAGCGCTAAAGCTTCTTGTCTTCGGTGTCCTACCTAGACCTTGACATTTCCCATGGGCACCCCAGAATCTTCGGCCCACCGTACATGCCCATAGTTCCCATGGGCTGGCCACCCCCCGGGAATATGGGAATTCCCATGGGACTAAAAAGAATTCCCACGCTAGCATAACTAACCTAAAATGGATGGATAAAATGCTGAGTTATCATAATAACTTACCGTTATTTACACTTGTTTTTGTTAGTACTCATCCTCAACCATATTGCGTCTATAACATCAGTTGAAATTTTATGAAATGAACCGGTATTTATTGATTTAATATTGTCATGGCCAACCTAAGTAAAATTTGAAGTCTAGTGATCCCCTTTGGTGGTGTAAAAAGGAAGTCGTGGTAGAAAGTGTGTTATCATGAGAGATATACAGTGACATAGCAAAAGTTTGGACACCCCCTGCCACTACCGCCTTCCTGGAATAGCTATACAGTCTGGTATACTCGGCCTTTTATTGGTGGATACTGACCGGCAGAATCTGGGGTGCTCAAACTTTTGCTATGTCACTGTATATTTCTC